AAGAATTGTATAGAACACACAGAAGTAAATCTTTTAACAACTAGGAGTTGCTCTGAAATAACTTTAAGAGCTCAACAAAAAGCAACTGAAAGAAAACAACAAAAACATTACAATAAAATGAGGAACAGGAGAGAGTTCTGGAAAGTGTGATAGTAATGATCAGGAGGAGCAATCTTACTTCTACATTATAAACATGTCCACATCGATGGTATTGACAAGACTGAAATGTAAAAATGTAATTATGAAATACTTTCTGTTTTTTAGTTAGAAAAGGTGAGTCTCAGTGATTATAAACACAGCCACAGCAATGTAGGATCGTAATACCAGAACACTAAATAATATGGCTACACAAATAAAACACCTAATAACCTAACAATGTTTGATACAATTGGAATGATACAAGACATACAACAGGAATTAAAGCACCAAATGGAATGCAGGAGGTACATCTTGGTTTTTAAATTCGTACTCCAGTTTATTGTGCTAGGCATGGCCATATTCACCATATGGCGATGGGACATTCCCACAGGTTATGGGGCAGCGAACGAGCGCATCTCAGTGTTATACAGTAAGTGCAGCTCTGAAGATACAGGTCAAGCAGACCCCAGTGCAGATTTAACAGCGCTACAGAGAAAGACCGTACAGTGTCTGAAACCACATACAGTACTTCAACAGAAATATGTCTTTATTTTTTAATGACATGTTTCTTAGAGGACACCCTCACAGTACAAACAGCTTAGACCTTAACTCTACAGTGGTTGATCGTGCAAAGGCTCTTTATGAAAGGTATTTTGACACACCTGGTTTTCCCAGTAAACACTAATGTAAAAAAATGTGTGACGTACACCACACACTACCAAAGCAATAATTAACAAGGAGTTATTGTCTATTTATTTAGGAGTGTGTAAAGCAAAAGTGTGAATCTGTGTCATCCTTCCACAATATATTGACGTACCTCCCGCCTGGCCCCGGAGTGTAAACACACGCAGTGAGGATATGAAGTGCTCGTCAAAACATAACCTTCAGGAGTGAATCAACATTCACATACAGCCACTCATCTGTTCATACACCCAATTAGACCTGCACTCTCAATTTGCCTTAAGAGAAAGGTTCCCCAGACCTGGTCCTGGAAGGTTTCGGCCAGTCCAGCTAGGCCATTAACCAGACCTAATTCAATTCATTAAGGGCTTAAGGGGACCAGTTTGACAGCTTGGCACGGCTCTTCAAGTGCTGGTGCTTAAGAAAGACCTGGAACACCTGCAGATTCTTTATCCATCCAGGACCAGGATTGGGCATTCCTGCTTCAGGGTCCTGGACAGCCCCAGTCCAGTGCTGTTTATACAGCAACTAGTCTTTAAATAACTGATTTTTCAGGCTCTGAGCCATTTTACGATAATCAATTTAACAGGTGGCTAAATTAAGATATCATTAGAGATCATCACATCACATCACTTTCCAGTGGCCCGAAACCTATCCCGGGAAATACTGGATGCAAGGTGGGATACACCCCGGATGCCATTCCATCACAGAGCGCACATGGACACACAAACACACACACTCACACCGGGACCAATTTTACAGAAGACATTTAACCTACCAGAAGGTCTTTGGATTGTGGGAGCGAACAGGGGCATCTGGAAGGAAACCCAGGTGAACACGGAGAGAACATGCAATCTCCACACAGATAGCAGCCCAGGTATTGAACCCAAGGCCCCAGCACTGTGAAGCAGCAATGCTAACCACTGCACTACCATGCTGATCAATTGAGAGATCACGTGAAACAAACAAATCAGAACATTCTTCAGCTCTAAAGGACCAATGCTCCTTTCATTGAGATATGACCCGTTTAATTGATCAACTGCTTAAACAGGTGTTTCTAATCTTTAAATAGGTGATTCAGAGTGCCCTATGAATACCTGGAGCTCTCCAGGACCAGGATTGGAGATCCTTTGACACAGGGCGACCTGTAATATTAACTGAACTTGGGCTCCAGAACCAGGCTAGGAGACCTCTGCACTCGAAGATTTAATCATGCCAGTTAAAAGAGACTTTCAGCCCTAAGCATTGAACTACATCCTTGTAATTCATCCTTGTAATCACATTCTGCAGACAGATAAAAACAGTTCTGTGAAAAAACACACATGTTGCAGCAACGCTACTTGATGTTGTATTTGTAAGCACAATAACATTGAGCCTCCACTGTGCGGTTTTGCCTTGTTTGTGAACAAGCGATTTCTGGAGTCGGGGTGGGGAACGGTAGTGTGTTTATGCCACAGCTGTGTAAACAATAATGAAGCAGATACACTCATGAGAGGTGTAAATATCATAATTCCAATTTCGATTCCACTGCAGATGTTAAAGAGGCCTAATATTACACGTCATTTTGCATTCTTCTCTAACCTTAATGCTAGGTTTTAGATTGAGGAAGGCAGCCTTCCCAGACTTTTTTTGGAAACCCTGTGAGAAATATAAATGTTTAACTTGTGGGGGAAAAAAAAGAAAGGCAATTTTCTGGAGAATTTCAAAATTGATTTTTTATGATAGTCGCCCCATGATAAGAGTAGTATTATTTTTTTTTTTTAAATGAGGTGGACAGGCCCAGCCTCTGCCTCTTCCCCAGCGAAACTGGAGTCTCCCCAATTTGCAGATGTGGCAGGAGATAGCTCTTGTAACGTGTCTGACTCTGGGATGTAGAGGTCCTGTATCGCCAGTTCCACTGATTTCCAGAACTCTTGTCCTGATTGAATGTTCCCTAAGTCACTTCTGTGGTGAATGTGTAATAATTTGTGATAGGTCACGGGTCTTTTTTAGCTTGATTCATCCACAGCACAGAGACATGGTTTCATCACTGAAGTGCCTGGCGCAGGGAGCTTGGCTGGCACCGAGCAGCCAGTCGGAGCAGCTCATCACACAAAAGATAGACCCAGGAAACTGCACGAATGGGGTTGAGACAGGACGTAGCCTTAAACTCACAGTCAGACAGGAACTGGGGCAGCTCAGATTTCTAAAATGGACTGCACTAGGCTGTGGTGCAGCACCTCAGGGTTTCATGAGACTGTCACAAGTTGTGACATTCAAACACTGCTTCGGTTTAATTTCTCTCCTTGTCTCAAAGTCATAGCCATTGAGACAAGAGTCCTATTATCCCAGCTCTCCACACGTGGCCTGTTTCCTCAGACCCCTACACAAGAAGAATCTTCTATAACATGTGGTACGTCCGATAATCCGCATTTCAATTGTTTTAAACAAGTTGTATTTGGATGACCGACAAAGTCATTTTTGCTCGTAGCAGGTATTCAAACTCCTCCAACCTCACTGACATAGTGACCCCACCGGACCTCGCCAGAGTGAACAGTGAAACACGAAGCAAGTGGAAATTGTATGGAAGCCCATTTGAAAACCGAGAACGAGGCTCTTTTTTCCTCTGAGGGCCGTGGGAGTGTGTTTCGATCAATTACGTACTCGCTACCTAGATGGGCCGATACCCTGGCTTGTAAAAAAAAAAAAGCTGGATAAGATCCTCAATTTACCACTCACAAATGAACTAGATCGGCGGAATTCCCTCTTGTTTCTAACCTTTCTTATGTGCTAGTGGTCTTAGGTTGAGGAGTGGCTGAATAATCATTTGGCAGAACATACCAGTGGTATGATGGGCAAGGCTAGTAGTGTACATTTGGTTGTCAGCTAGTACCAGGCTTCCCATGTAGGGCAGTTTCTTGTTTTCATTGAGGACCTCTTTCCCAAGGCAAGACCGGCTGTGCCCCATCATACTCTGTCTTCCTGGTTTTTAAAATAATCTGCATCCATGCCATTTGGTCTCCTCTCACTACTGCAATCGAGTGAAAAGCCTCGAGATGATGCATCATAAAAGACACGATAGAAAATAACAAGTATTAAGACACTTACATTATTTTTCAGTAAATAATTGAATAGCCAATGGTATTTAATAATAACGCACCAAGAAAGAAACATACAGAAATGAAAACAGAGCTCAGGTTTCAGAAACGTACATTAATTCTCTATGCGTACATGGACGCAATAAACCTACTCTTGATGAAACATTAGTGCACGGAAAATCAAATCATTGTTGTGTTGCTTTCATTGTTAGCATTGACAAAAATGTAATCATTTTTGCTCTAGTTAGGTTTATCATTGAGGTCCTGTGCTAGAAACCAATTAGAAGTAACATCCTAATAAAATTAAAATTCCACTAATTGTACTAAACTGGTTGTATAGTTAAGCATAGCAGTTCATTGTCATTAACCTCTTCTATGACGTAATACAGTTTACTACTTCCAAGTTTGTAAGATAACATTTTAATATACTGCACATTAAATGTATACATAAAACACTTTGAATTGAAACATTTTTATAGCGTAAAACAAATATTTTTAACACCTGCAGTTTTACTACACGCTTGTAAAGCTTACAAAATGCAAAGATCAAGATCGTACTTTAATTTCCCTTACAAAAAAGTGATGTAACCTAATAACACGTTTCCTGTGCGAGTCTCAACCCGACAAAACACAAAATATTTATTTGATCATTCACTGAACACAAAAAGGGGATAAAAAGACGTCTATCTCTTAATTTCCACAGGTAGTGTACGTTAAAGTATCAAAAGGCAGCAGTTTTTACTTGTTCACGTCTTTTAAGTTTTCCCAGCTATACTGTAGTTGTACTAGATAGTAATCAGATTGGATTGATTTAATCAAACGAACTATGGTCTTTTTTTCATATAGTGTTTTGGATGATTAAACGAAACGTATTTAAATTAAATAATCCCTTTTGCGTTATCTTGTTTTTTGTTTTAATCTTTACATGCATTGCATTTGCGCGAAGGAACATTTACTCTTTGCGCGCTCTCACGCTTACCTGCCAGTAAACTTTTTTTTCTCTTTGTGTCTGTACTCAATGGGCGGTTCTAACTCTGTGGATTTTTTTTTCTAAAATCTCCACCCCTCTTCCTTAACTTTTTGAACTATTTCAGCCCGGTGCTAAAGTTGAACTCAAATTGAAGGGAGAACGCACGTGGAGCGACGCTACTAGCAGAGCTCGGGAATAAGTTTGAGACTCCGCACTAACTTTAATTAAAACTTAGTTGATTAGTTGAGACTTAACAGAATGGTTAACGTTCAGCTCTGTTAAAAATGTTTCACCCTTCTTTATGTTACTGTCGATAGTGACGAAAACTCTTTCAAGAGCTTTCTTGAAAATTTTGAACTGAAGGATATTTAGTTTGAAACTTTCTGGCACAATTGAGACTGGGCATGCGCCTGCTTTAGTGATTCCAAATTCAAAATCTGGAGTCTCTCTGTGAGCAATACCTAAACAGAGTGACCCGCACCACAGGGTGAAGAATCTAGTCATCATGGTGGACAAGGGACCGTTACTGACTTCGGCTATAATTTTCTACCTGTCCATCGGGGCAGCAATATTTCAAGTCCTCGAGGAGCCCAACTGGAAGACCGCCGTGAACAAATACAAAGACGAAAAGAAGGACATTCTCAAACGCTACCCCTGCCTCAAGAAAGATGATCTGGACTATATTTTGGAGGTATGGAAAAAAATGGGCACTAACTTCTTTTCTTGTATATGTCGAAATAAATCCGGATCTTATAACAGCATTATGTGAAGATGTTACACAATTCGGTTGCTGCATCATTAGGAGCAAAAACTTTTTTCCCCCTCTTAAGGGAAACTCAGTACCACACACCCAGCATAACTTTAGTTACATCTCTTAATCATATTATGCTGCCAATATGCACATCGGCATCCCTGTACTCTTGTTCTGCTGTGCTACGAATTCAAAAAGGTTAGAAAGGTAGCAAAAAAAAAAGATCGCAAATATCGTTTAGAAGAGAATTAAAAGTTGCCTTTGGGGATTATTGTTTGGTTATTTCTGGTTTAAATTGAAACCGCCACTCCTACCCTCTCTTCAAGTGCATCACCTTTCTGATGGAGTTTGGGAGAAGCCCTTCATATGGAATACATTATTTAGGCACATAATATGATCGTGCAAGCCAACCAGTGGGACTCGGTGCGTACGCCTTTCATGAACCCCGAGCGCAACTTTCTTTCTGTACTTCCCGCGGGTTTTATTCTCTTATCAAGTGGTGTGTGTGTGTGTGATCTTGCTTCTGAATGTAAACAGTGATACACATTTTTATCTTCTGGGTTTCAGCCCAGGATGGTGTTATATACAGCTTTTGAAGCGTTGCTTGCCTTGAGAGCAGAATCAAGTGCTAAGTCTGCATTTAAACTGCACCGTTTCAGAGTACTGTCTAAAGTACTAGAAGTGTAGTTTAAAGAAAAGGCGCGATCCCTGGCCTTACAGTATACAATATTCTCCTGTGGGTCTTTGGCATATTCAACTTCAGACTCCCCAGCTCTGAATGAATCCACCAATTGAATAGCTGACGTTACAGAAATGCTTCAGACAAGGAGGTGAATTGTCTGGCTACCCTGGATTTACAGTTTTTTAATAGTTGTACTCAGGATTTCTGGGCAGTTTAGTAGTCCACAACTCTAATTGTTTTTTTTTTCCTCTAAAGCATCTTCAAATGTACAGATCTGTAAGAGTGTCCCATGCCCTCCTGTCCTGTGTTATGAAGTTCAGGTGTAGCGGATTCGAACCAGATCTCCCAAAACATTGTTTTCTTAAAACCTTCTGATTTGAAGAAACACCCTAAACAGCAGTAGATGCCTATTTGTTGCATTAGCAAGTTGTGGTAACAGTTTCTGTTAATCCATCCGTCAACTAGTCATTTGATGAAACTGTTTTCATGAAAAACACCATCTCGGAGTGTGATGAGTCATTCGACAGAGGCGGTGGTTGAGTTTCAGGTAGAATGGGAAGTACAGTCAAGGAATTAGGCTTCACAACCTGCAAAAAACTTTATGCAAACTCTACATGAGAAACTTAGTTCCTCGTGGACTGCATGTAGTTTATTCGCCAAAAAATTCTTTAGGTGGGGCAGGTATTTTGATACCTGTAGAAGCCTGCCTTACAGCTATAGGCGTTGCTTCAACGTTGCATAAGAAAACATAAGTAATTATGGGGTTTAAATGATACTTCTAAATAGAGGCTCACTAACGGCAATTGAGGAATGCATCCAGGCTAAACGGATGTCTCAAACCACGCAGGACTGATCTGTTTATATTCCGTTTCAGTTGTTTCAGGTTCCTCAAGTGACTCGAATAACCTGTTTTAATAGTCAACACCTAGACGTCTCTTGGCCTGCAGGTTCCCATGGTGTCTGTTTAAGGCGATGCCCTGTCCTTTGTTTGGGAGCATAAAATTGGCCTGCGATCGGCACAGTCTGAGCCCGGGGCATGATCCGAATAATATGCTGACACAGCTCCTGTGGAGAGCTGGGATCGGCTGCTTTCAGCCTTGTCGTCTTCACAGGTGGGCCTTATCATTCATTCCGGTGTAGGGATCTTTGCTTTGTCTTTCCTGGTCCAGTGTGGACAGGAGAGGGAGCAGTGGCGAGCTGGGCAGTGCACTAGGGGGCTGTGAGACGCGTCACCAGAGCGGGTCTGCAGGAGGGGAAGGTGGAAATGTACTGGGGCCCTGGGGAGATGGCAGTGGCCCAGCAGAAATAATGACGCTGGGTGTGATGTCTGTAACGGAGTGTCTAGCCGGTCCGATTACCTGGCGTGCACGTGAGATTTCTCAGCAAACGTGCAAATTTGTGTTCAGACTGTACGAATTTAGCAAGGGTCTGTGCAATATATTTACCTCTGCATTTTAAAAAAAAATTCGAGCAGAATTAGGCCCATTTGCAGGTTTAGCGTGTCAGTGTCCTTAGTTACTACTTCAGGTCGGTCGAAATGATTTCTCATTTTGTTGTTCAGAAAAACCCAGTGTAGTGCAAATGTCTTTTTGCCCTCACTGGGAAGTGAGCGGTCACAACTGATTTCATTGGGCTTGAAGCTTGGTAAGATAGCCGTGGCTTGTCAGGGTCTTTGTCGAGAGAGGGTTGAAGACCAGATTCTGGCTGTTTATACCGGTCACACCCGTCTCTTGAGGTGATTAGTGTGCTCAAATGTGTCCTGGGGTTTTAACCCTGGGCTAAAAGGGACACCACTCTGTAATGCAAATCAGGAACACAAAGCAAGGAAGGTTACATCGAACGTCTCGGCCCTTCTCGAGTTTCCTAAACCAGAAACGTGCCTGAACAAATCCCCAGTCGAGCAACTGCCAGTGGTCCCAGCAACACCAGGCTAATTTACTAGTCGCCCTCCTCCCCCTCTTCTTTGTTGCCAGTGGCCTGGAGGGGGAGGATGCATAGCTTAGTGCACCCCCCCACCACCCCCCACTCCTGTGACTGGGGAGGGATGGGGAGGTTGGGAGTTGAATGGGAACCTGAAGCTTCTCCTGGCTGGGCTGTGGATGTTGCTGAATGCAGCAGCTGTTGAGGCAGCCTGACGCTGTGGTCTCTTTGCAAGTGAAAAGGGCACAGAAGTGAGATCATTAAAGTTTCAGAGAGAAGTTTGGTGGGGGGTCATAACACTTGGTATTAGCTCCCATACAAAGAATGCATTGTACTAGCCTCCAGATTCTATAAAGCCCCGGACTGAATGGAGGGCTGGGAGCCGAGCTCTCACAGTTGTAGGATTTGTTTTTCCATCAATGCTCAGATTTATTGACCATGCCGGTTCATTATAAAAACTCTACCTGATCAGGAGTTTGGAATTTTCTTTTGTTTTTATGCATGTTGGCTTCGCCTGGTAGTTGCCGGAGCCAGAATTGCGATCCGCTTGTTGAGACGCGTTCAGAAGGCCTCTACTGAGTGACCCTCGGCACTTTTACTGGACGCAAGAAATGTCGTGCGCAAGTGGTGAGGTCATTGGTTGCTAATAGCTAATCAATCCCTGGATCTCATCCAGCTGTTTCTTGAAAGAAGTCATGGTATCCGCTTCAGCAGCAACATGGCTGGGTAGCTTGTTCTACACTCCCACAACCCTTTGTGTGAAGACCTGCCTCCCGTTCTCGGTTTGAAATGCATTTCCCTGCAATTTCCACTTGGGTCCTTTGGTGTGTCTTTCACTGGATATGGAAGAAGTCCACTGACTCTTGCTAGAGCCTGTGAGGATTTGGGAAATGTCAATACTTAGGTCCCTCTGCAGTCTGCTGTCTACCAGAATACAAAGGTTCAGCTCCTCCAGCCTATCAAGGCACGATATTCCTTTAAGCCTGCATTTGGTTGCTCTGGACAGAACAATTGTGTCTTTTCTACTGTGTGTTGACCACAATTGCAAACAATATTCTTAAAGTTCGAATGTTACGTTTTACAAGTGCATTGTGAAATTGTAACCTAGCATCACTGTGTTTATATTATGAGCTTGCAGTTCTTTCGAACGTTCTGCTTGGTTTATTGCTTGTCTACTTGTAGATGATGTCAGCATAAACACCTGTCGTTTTCCTGCAGTTTCCCCTCTTATATTTCTCATTTGTTTCTGCTTCCAGCACGTAGCAATCTGCACTGCCAGGTGTTTTTCCCAGTCTTGATTTGTTGTCTAGGTTTTTAGCTGTTTTCTTTGCAGCATTTGGGTATTGCGTGAGGTTTATTTCAGTTGAAGTTTACTGCAGTCTGCATTGAAAAGGGTGAGATACCAGGGTTTTATGACAATGTAGTGCAAAGTGCAACAAATAGATCCGGGATCTGTGCAAAACCACATTCAGCTGGTGGTCTTTTTTTTTTTTTCCCTCCGCCTGGGAAAGGTGATGATGCGAACAAGAAGGTGGGTTCCTTCAGGCTTCAGGTTATTAATTTAACCAAGGAGTGAGAAACAGCTCTGGTAAAGGTTAACACCAGGCCCACACACTGACTGCCTGCAGACTTGAAAATAGAAAATCAGGATATATTTTCACTGAAATTGCTCTTTGATCTCAAGGATTGACTGATGTGGCAAGATATAATGGCCTGTTCACTAGTTGAAGGTAAGAAAAGTTCCAAAACCAGCAGACATACCAGACTAGGATTGGAGAAATTTGCTTTGCAGGCAGGTCAAAGATGTAACACCATACTTTGAACACAACATGAGCACATTAACCAAAAACTAACATGCATGGCCAGGATTAAAAAAACAAAACAAGTTAGTTAAATCCTCACAGTCCAGTCTGATTAGAACAGGTAAATAGCCATGGGAATAAAGAATAACCTAGTTGTATTGTACTTAAATCTGGGTAGTCGATATCTGCCCCCTGATGAAAAGAGCTCACATTCGCTGTGCATGGGGTGTTAGGGATGATATTGTTTGGTATGGTGTCTGCCAGCTGTAGCTCTTGTGCACCGGTAACGCTGCTGGCTATGTTTACTATCCTGCTCAGTGTGTTTTTATTGGGTGTGTTCAGGTTACCAGACCAGGTTACCACAGTGAATGTTAACACATCATGGTTGCCAGCCTTAACCCAGCTAAAGGATCAGGCACCAAGCACTAGGACAGTTTCACAAGAGGCAGCTACAGCTTAGCTTTTGAAAACATGCAGAAAATCTGTGGCCTGACTCAGCTAAACATCAGATTTTGATCTTCAGGAGCACTTTCACT